GGGCTCGTGAAATTCATGCTACTTTCCTTTAGCCTCTTGTCATGGATAAGTGCAGCTGGAACCCATGGTGGACGTTTTTGTAGCTCCCACTCATGGCTAGCACGAGCTGCTCCATGTGCCACTCAGCTCTACCAGCTTCTGCTTTTTGGTGGCAAATTCTCTTGCGTCTACTTCTCCTCTTCCACTACCCCCTTTATTTTTATGTAACACCGAGTTCTTACAGTTTACTTTGATGTCACCTTCCATCAGTACCGCTGCTGTACTCGCAGTGCGGGTGTAGTGCTATGGCAACAATATATAATCCCCAGTCTTGCCAGTGAGCAAGATAGGAGGCAGAAATTAGTTGCTATATCGAAGTCTGATCTGGCAGAGCTGAGCGAAGGATGCGGCTGTCCTGAACCGTCTGCTATTTTCACAGGACCTGCCTTTCACGTTGGTTATGACACACAGATACAGTCTCTGCTCACATTTCCCAGCGATGCCTTTTTAAAGCCATGGATGACTTAGCACCTTGGAAAATATTTTTAGATGTACAATAATCTCGAAGCTATCTTCAGAAGTGACCAAAAATGGAAAAAGATCATTTTTTTCCCCCTGTTACTATTCCACAAAGGTGCTTTTCTGTCATCTCTGGGTAGGAGAGAATGTATAAATGGAAAAAAAAAATCTTTCAGAGTGAAATATAGGAGAAATGTTTTAGCTATCCACTGCTAAAAGCTGAGAGCTCTGCTGTCCTCCCTTCAGGGGTGTGGGCTGGGAGATGTTCTTTACAGTGAGTCTTTGCTGTGAACTCTTGGGGAGGTTTCAAAGAAGGACAGGCTGGTAGAAACTTAAGGGCAGGTTCAAATTTTTCAATGAAATTAGCACCGTGCTTAGTCAAAATATGTTTGCTTGTTCGCTCCTTTTATCAGATCAGTCTTGCTGAGCTGCTTCTACTTGCACACACTGAAGCAGCTATTTCACATTATTGATTTATGACCCTAATAGTGGGAGAAGTTGATTAGAACAAAGGGATGGTGCCTTTACTGTGTTATAAATCCTTGCCCTGTGATCTGCACAGAAATGAATTGTTTTGCAGCATATCAGCCATCTGTCTGAGTCGGCAGGGAAGGATGCGTGGTGATCCCAGAGCAGATATTAGGCACAGCTGAGCAGCCAAACAGGCAATCTGGGCTCTAGGAGGTGAGGAGAGGTCTCCCAAGCCCCTCTGCACCCACCTCTTCTCTGTGGAGATGGTGGTGGGTGTCCTGGGCTGGGCTCTGGAGCAGCAAGTGCTSTGCAAGGCAGGGTTGGAGCCCAGGCTAAAAGCCTGTCTGGAAATCCCAGGTCCATCCTCTACGACCTGCTGTCTCTCTAGGCRTGTGCAAGGCTTTAATAGAAAACAAGCCCTTAATTTGGAGCAAGATTCGAGAAAAATGTCCCATTCAATTACTTAATTGTAGGTGAACTGTAATTGTAAGGCACAAACATGTCTGGCTACAAAGCACAAGCTGGAAACAGAAAGGATTATTTGTTGTTTAATTTAGCAGAGGAAGGTGGGTGGTGATTCATAGGTCTAACTGACACCTAGCAAGTTACATTATCCTATTTGTTAATCTTTTTAACTTTCCATTTCATTAGGATAGAGTTTGGGGAGCAAATAGGATAAATGAGATTAACTCTGTCACCCTGAATTATTCTACTGTGAATTACGAGCAGAATCAGTCCATGTCAAGGAAGTGTAATTATGAGGAAAACACTGCCTGGGCAATTGTGTGCTTATGCAGAAGCATTTGAGATCCATAATTATCTCTAGTATGTGGTGGTGTGTGCTGGCACTGAAATTTTGTGGTAAACATAATTGTAGAAGGGTTCTCGCCCGGGGTAGTTACTCCTTCTAGCAGGGCTGGAACTCACAGCAGTAGCAGGATCACCCTTTAGGTCTCCTGGTTTAACGGAAGGATCTAAATTAACTCAGACTACAACACCCATCATATATTTATTTTCACAAGAAAGATGCCAGCACAGCTAGCTTGAGCTTAAGTGTTGAGTGTGCAATGAGGAATAACGGCCATGGGGAGAAGAGAGTCTTTGGAGCTGTAAATTTGCCAGGTGAGGCTGCTTGTGCAAAAAGGAGGTCGTAGCACAGCTGGCTCTGTCCCCTTCGCTTGACTTTCGCCTGGTCCAAGGACACTGTCTCTGGCCCTGCGATGACCGTGGATCTGCAGGTGTTTCTGCAGCTTTCCCTGGCAGCAGCTGAGTGATAATGGATTGAGCAGGGGTGAGAAATGGGCATTTTCACTCCTGGGTGTCAGCGGGCATCCGAAGTGGGACCMCAGGGCACCGTCATCCCCGTTCTTGGTGAGTTGGCTGCCCTGCAACGTGCTGCTCTCAGCGATGGTGGAGATCCCATGTCTCGCGTGGAGCCAGGGGATCAGGATACCATGAAGGCAGTGAAACAAGAGCTTAAGGTTAAAAGAATGCAAAAGCAAATGCAAATGTTAATGCAAAACTTAAGAAAATATATACGTGTTGTGTAGGGTGGTGTAGATGAGTGAGAGCATCTTATGCACTTGGGATCATAATATCTGGGAGAGATAAATCGTGCAATTTTTTTTTTTGTATTTGCAAGAGACAGTCAGTTTACTAGCATAAGGACTCAAGGAGTAACAGCTTATGCAGGTAAAATGTCTTAAAAGTACCTAGTGGTACCGCAGCAGTGCTATGGTCTTGTTGTTGTAAATGCACTTTAAATGTGGGGTTCCCTGACCAGAGAGAGATTTGAATCTGTGTTATTCGTCTGTATTTGTAAAAGCTTTTGTTAGGAAAATCCAGATTTGCGCCAGATATGAGTGTTGCTCCTGCTGCAAGGAGCTTGGTTGGAGGGAGGGTAAGTACAAAGTAAAACGAACCTCACTACGGGTTCTGCTCCGCCACTTCTGTGTCTTCCTCCTCGGGCATGAAGGATGCAGGGAATCAGAAACCGGACTTTTGCATGATGGATTCGTGATAAAAATATGTGCCAGATCTGGTTTAGAGTTTCTGCTATTTTGCTTAAAATTATGTTTGTGTTAGAATAGAGGAATGGAGAAAAAGCATCGTGTTGAGGAATCCTGGTAGTATTTTTATTTTTCTTTTCAGACTCTCTTTACAGTTAGGAGGCAGGACTTGATCTCCAGCGTATCTACTTTGATTGGTCATTCCAGGATGAAACTCTTATTGGCCCWTGTGATTTTATGCAACATTTGATGCGACGTAAAAATTCTGAGAAGAAAAATAGCAGGGTGGTGAACAGACCTTCTGGCCARTATGTACAATGACTCACGCTACCCTTTATTTCAACATCCATGAAGTATTTTCAGATGTACTATTTTCCCAATAAATAAGAACTTTAATTTTATGGCTGTATTTTTTCCTAGTATTTTGGTAGGCTTTGGGGAATMTGACAAAGTAAATCACAAATGAGAATGTTAGCAAATGCCTACATTAATCAWCTGAGACAGCCTCACTTATTTTAATCGTGCTCTGAGTAGCTAGTTATGTGCAGGAAAGGGTTTTTTCTCCCTCAATTTGCTGACTTACTTGACTTTACTGCCAAGGAAATCTCTCCTCTGTGCTTGACAAGCAAGGGGTAACTTCATAATCTTTCTCTGTGTAGGTAGTTTCTTTATGGGAAGAAATACAGTCAGTCATGCCCATCCTGAATCTCATTTTACTATAATTTGGAAGGAGGAGCCTTTCCCTGGGTAGAATTTGTTCTGCAGCACCTTAGGAKTGGTCCTGGGAGAAACCCACCCTTCCTCTCACCTTGCCATGGGCAGCAGCAAAGCTTCTTTGCTGTAATGGGAACACTGCTTTTTCATCAGACCAATGCTGATACWCTCTCGACATCCCCGTTCCTCCCTTCCGGGTGGGATTTGTCCATCCTTTTACCCACTGCAGCCCAGCCTGAAGGAGGAGAAGGGAATCTCCTCATGCTGGCGCAGGTCTGGCAACGCTGTCCCAAGGTCAACAGCACCGTTCCCAGCTGCTCGAAGCAGCACTTGGTAGCACAAACTGGGCAAATGACATTTGGGGAAGGATTTGTTTTCTTTCTTTCCCTCTACAGGCTGCAGCCTGGCGAATGAGCAGGATCAACCTCAAATGTAATGCAGGCATAATATGATCTTAAATCTGTGGGCTAATGGATGGTTTATGCTGATGGTGGCAAGACGTTGCAGTTAAACAGCTGCCTACACTGCAGCTCAGAGGAGACCTGGCAGCCGAGGCAGGTGAAAATCAGAGGGGCCACGTGGTCAGAACAGGCTTTACGTTTTTCAAAGAGTTTCTTTGTCCTGTATCTTTCCTTACTCATGTTTGCAAGATTCATGAGAACGATAGGATTTTTTTCCTCCAGCAACTCTGTAACAACAAACCTTTTATGCAACAGAGAGAAGCAAATTTGATCTAGGATTTAGAGATAAGCTTTACAGAGGCTGTAAATGGTAGAATGGATAAACATTGCTTGTTACTGGGTAAAGACACCTGCATGTTTAATGTGGAGCCTGGCTGTGCTCAGCCTCGGTCCTGCCCTCGCCACTGGTGGAGGATGTTCTTCTTAGCAGCTAGGATAGCTTCCCTAAATGGCATTTCCCCACTCTCTTTCCAAAGGCTCCCATTTTCCCCCTTTACCCTTCTGCTCCTCCCAGCTACACAGGCCATGTGGACAGGGAGCATCTCAAGGGTTTCTGAGATGCGTTCGTGGGGCAGGTGCCCTCCGCTTTCCTTCTCGTGTTGCAGCAGACATGCAGCTTGTGCAYGGGGCAGCAAATGTCAGGCTGCAAACAAGACCAAAGATCCCTGCGAGCCCCGTCACGCTGCTCCTTCCTGCCCCACGGAACAAAGCGGCTTTGCAAGGGCTGGAGGTGACGTACGCAGAGCACTGAAATGGGCTCTGTTGAGATTCCTGCTGCTAAGTCCCAAGTTCAGCCTTGCTTCGTGGCTGTTGCAGAGGAGGCTGCTGCTCCGTGTGGGGATGATGGATGGGAAGATGCTGCTGGATGCAGCCCTTACCTGTAGTTTTCCTTCTCCACAGGTGCCCCTGGTTGACCAAAGCCATCTCCCCGGCCATCCCGCTGTACAATGGGCTCGTGTTCCTGTTCGTGCTTGCAAACTTCAGCATGGCGACGTTCATGGACCCTGGAGTTTTCCCACGAGGTAACAGGGACATGTTGGGAAGGATGAAAACCTAAGCTGAAGGAGCTGTCCAAAGGCACTCTTTCATACCCAGTCCATTTTTTTTCTTTTTGTTTTTTTTTTTTTTCCTATAGTCTTTTATTTTTAACCTTGCCCTCAGCTGGCTGTAGAGGACAGCAGCAAAGTGCCAGCCTGTTTGAGGTGGAGCTTGTTCTCCTTGCATGTAAACTGGCATCCTGGGCAGTGCCRGAGCAGGTCTCATGGTGCAGCTGTGATCGTCATCCCCTGTGTCAGGCTGGCACCTCACATTTAAGTCACTGTCTTCTCAGTAGGTAGCTGAGCATGGTGCAGGGCGAGGCTGAACTTTCTGAAGCTGCTTCATTAAAGCAAATCTTCCTTCCAAAAAGAGGCATGGACAAATACACAAGCACAGAATTCAAAAAAAAAAAAAAAAGACAATGATTAAAGCCTGCCTTAAGTGGAGTGTTTAAAAATATGTATTTTTTTAAAATGCCTGTTTAAATTAGCATTGATGCACAGCTGATTAAATGGGTTTAAGATTGCTGAGCTCTTGTAATTGGAACCACAGAGTAGCTATTACTTTTAACACATCCTAATGAGAGAATTATCACCTCGTTTTATCAATTTTCCAATAATCATTCACATGCAGTTTCCAGCAGAGACTGCTCTAGGCAGTCTGACTAACGCAAAGGATCTGCACTGTTTGTGAGCTGTCCTTTCTCACCTCTATTCAGCGAGTTCAATACTTGCTTTGAACTGCTGTGGTACCTGATGAGAACAAGGGACCAGCACTGCTGGCTTCCCTGAATAGCAAGCGCCAGGTTTCTGTGGGTAGCGGAGTCTAATGATGAGCATCTTTCTGCCAGTCCTTTCAGAGGAAGCTTTTGAGCCCCCGATTAAGTGTTGGGGCACTCTGCTTAAGGAAATAATTTTGTGTAAAGGCAAACTGAGACCATGGCAAGATTCAGTCATTTATGCAAGATTATATGAACCAATGTTTAAGTGCTTAACGGTCTGAATAGGTGCTAGTGAGATTTTCAAAAGAGTTTATGCACCTAGGGCTTTTGGCTAGATTCCCAGATTTCTTAATTTCTTTGTCTCAGCAGAGATAGCAGTAACTGAACAGTCTGAGGCTGTGAGGTTAGCAAAGGCATCAGTGCTCTTTGCCTTCAGTAGAAGGAGCATTGAGACAATGTTCGGTTTTGAAGATCTCAGTCTGTGGATCTAATGTCTGTGTGCAGTGCAGTTTACTCAGAACAGTGCCTGCTGCCTTCCACTTGGGCTTGCCCTACAAGTGACTGAGGACTGAGTGTATCATAAATTCACACCTTCCTTTACGGTTCTCCAACTTCCTCTGTCAGACAAGGTCTTTATTTTAGACTGTGCATTTAAAGGAGAGAAGCACAGGGTGTTCCCATGGGAATGTGACATTCTCTCACCACCTTCCCTCCCTTCCTGCCTCCTTTAGCACCCAGGAACCTGGAGCAGCACAGGCAGAGCAGGCGTTTCCCCCATCTTACCCCTTTCCTGCCTCATTTCCTCTTTCTGGTCTCAGCCTTGTCTCAGAGCCCTGTSCATGAACCTGGCCTGGGAGAGGGCTGGAACTCAGCACTGAGTAGGGAAAGGATGAGAACAGGAGTAGGAGCCATCCTGGAGATGGAGTGGGAGTTTAGATGTGGGAAAGAGGCAAGCTGATAAGGGAAAGAAAAGATGGAAAAGGCTATAAATACCAGTACTGGGAGGAAAGGGGAGCAGATGTCATCTTAGATTGCAAGCATGTCTGCTAAAAAAGCCACCAGCACCCAACACTGCCTTGCAGAGCTGCAAGCCTAAGGAGTTCAAAAATCGTAGGTGTGATTTAAAATGAATATACAATGGATCTGTTTGCTTTCTGTTCTTGAAATTACACATTTAGTCTCCGTGTTTGTTTTTCCAAGCTTTTAGCACATTTCTGGTGGTTACAAATTTACTTCAGAAGTTACAAGCCATCATACAAGTACCAGTTGTACCTGTACCCGCAAATGTGTGAGGATCAGCACAGTAAGAAATTATCACTTGCCAATGTATTCTTATGCTTGGATCCCTGGGGGCTGGGTAATAAGTAAATAAGGTGCATGATATACTCATGTCATGCAAGCTTATATGCTCTCTGGCAGGGAGAACTTAAAACAAGCTCTTCTTTTATTAGTGAAGAAGATCTGAATCGAACTCCCCAGTTCATTACTCATTTTCAAATCCTGAATTTGGGGCTATGAATAATTGGCTCTGTGCAAGTGGGTTGCTAGTGATACACCAAAATGATTCAGAAGACAAGAAGACAAGAAAATATGAAGTCTCTGAATTTGGAGCTCACCTGACAAATCTGATTTTGCACTCTAGGTCAAGGTTTGCAATATTTGTTGCTAGTGCTGGCTAATTATAGATACCAGCTATGAACTGGGTTCTAGTATTTTTTATGTGGTCCTATTTTATAAGAACTCTTCAATTCCTCGTCAGAGCAAGTGGGAGATGCAGATTTCTTTGTAGATAGATGACACATATCCTTGACACTTCTAAGTGTGTGTCAAGTGCTAGCTTTGATAATAGATAGTTTCTGTAAGACTAGTGTGTCTGTATGTGGGTATGTATATGCAAGGTACAGATTTTGTTTGCATAGTCAGTATCTTTACGAGAGCATAATGGTTGGACCATTCTAATGTTTTGCCTTTAGATGTCTGCACAAATGTATTATACAGCATTGACTAGTTTATAATGGTATTGAAGAACCTGTAGAAATTGCATTTGTAGAAGCGCCCAAGGGATTTAGAGTTTAACTCCCACTGATTAGTTATGAAGGAAAATTATAGAGTATGCTGCCAGTACAGTCCTCCACACACAAACATTAATCCTCAGAACACTCTTGCAAGGTAAGTACTGTAGCTGAGCCTGATCCCAAGCTCATATAAGTGAAGGGAGAAACTCCCTCTGAAGTCAATGAAAATTGGATCATTTTTGTCACTCTACTGATGCATCTTCTAGAAAAGATTTAATRTAGGACTAAGTGACAATGATTGATGCCCCACTGGGACAAAATTATCAAATTCTACCTAATTTGGAGCCAGTCAACCAAAGCCAGCTGCACTATAATGCTTAACCATGTGTTAAATAGATACGAACTTCTTAGATTTTCCCTGTCAGAAGGAAATAAATAAAGATTAAAACAATCTGGAATAAAAGAA